TTTCATGCCATGTTGCTCAACCGGAATTCCGATTACCGACCAGTTTGTCTATATTCCTAGTATTACCGTTGACCTAAGTATCAATCGTCACATAGACCGATTAATCACAATGGAGGCCTCACCGTTTGTTGGTCCATGATCTACTTTTAACTCTGTGGCCAATAAGAAGAAGTAGATAGCGAGTAGACCAATTGTCTACTGCACTCAATTATATCATGCAATAATATCTTTGAAATGACAATACACCAAACAAAGAACCATATTTTTAAAGACATTCGTATCATAAGTGGTAGAGTGCATCTACATTAAACAGAAATATATTATCTACATATTCCAAGTAAACAAGAAAATGTCCTAGAAGGAGATGGATTCCTAATGAGTCAAATGATGAGACTGTTGCCACAAAAAGAATGTCCATGATAAATGTGTATGAAGATAGGGGAAACGAACAATCTTGAAGGAGGTCAATTTCAGTTATTAACTCTCGGACACACTATTGCTGCTCCACGTACTCGCCCTCTGAAAAGTGGCGGCCATTCCGGATTGCCAGAACTGATCACGCTCAAGCATTTAAGTACGTTTAATGACCTAGTAAGTTTTTATAGATGATTCCGACCGAATTGTGCGTCTCTTAACCCTCAAATGATCAACTTTGGGAAGACGCAAAACCCATCAATTTGGACGACAACGCGAAAGCCTTCTCCATAGTTAGGGAAATTATTGCAAAAAACTATGCTCTTACACCAGGACATCAAAGGACCTATTACTATTGCAATAGAGACACCCGACTCGGCAAATGAAGCAGTCTTACAACAATTGGTAAACACAACCTGATAACCTTTGACAATCCTCCTGAGATGATAGACGTATGGCACTTTCGGTATGGAACTCCTAGTCATGTATTGTGTTTTATGGCACTTTCAACACTCTGTTGAAGACCGGGCATTTACTTTATTCACTGACCATAATTCCCTCAACATCTCCCTAAGTTCGCCTTCAAATAAGTACTCTACTCGAGAGTTTCGACAACTCGCCCGCATTTCGCTGTTTACTTCAGGTATACAACAAACTTCTGGGGCAAACAATGTAATGTCAGACGCCTTGTTTCTTACAACTTCCTTAAATAATTTCCAAGGAATCGACTTTCTTAACCTTCTCTAGCTTCGAAAAGAGCATGTTGATCTTCAGCAACAGTGGTCTTCGACAAACCTGAAACTATGAGTGAGACGGATGCGAACAGGTAAATGGACTTTACTATGTGACATCTCTTCATGTAGGGATCGTCCGATCGTGCCCAAACACAGTCGGCGTAACGTCTTTAATACGTCGCACAAGTTTTGACATTCAGGTGTTTGTGCAACCATAAAGCGCATGGCAGAACGAGTCTGTTGGTCTAGTTTGAATAAAGATATGGGGGATTGGACAAGCTCCTGTGTAAAAAACCGGAAATACAATGTGATTGGACACAACAAATGCCCCTTAGGCTTTTTCCGGAACTCTCGACGCTCGTTTGGATCACTTTCATTTTGGTTGGTGTTGACCGATCACACAGTGGCCAAAAGTAGTACCGATCAAGTACATTACCTCTAAAACAGAGATCTATACCTTCATCAAACGATTAGTAGCAAATTTGACTGCCCTTCAGTTATCACTTCAAGGCGTGGATGTTAGTACAATACTTCGCCGTTAGGAATCACACGATTTCGAACGACTTCCTGCCAACCAAGACGATTTCATAGACAGTTTTAAGCCTCCCTCTCAGATGCAAATGTTTTACAGTGGACTCACGCTTTTTCACTAGTTTTACTCGGTATTCGCAGTACAGTGAAAATTGATTTCGGATACACTACAGTACAACGCGTTTTAAGAACGACACTCCGACTTCCAGAGAATTTTTTTGATCCTTCATCTTCAGAGAAAATGGATCTGAACTAATAGACGTGTGGGCTCTTAAACGCTATACGTTCAGTTAAACGAGGTTCCAATTGATCACAGTCAACTGACGTTTTCGTTCAACCAGCCTTACAAGGTAGTACACGTTTTTGTACGATGCAATTTATTACTACGTTCTCTTGAAATGGCATACAGAGGACCCTTCAAAACCCTACGTCACAAATCTTAGTACTTAACAGTCAATAAGGACGGAAACAATGATAATGTCACTATAGACCGTCTTAAAGCCGATTACTTGAAAATGACCGTAATTATATCGATTTTCTTCATGTACAGTCGAAAGACACGCGCCTTAAAATCAAGATACCCATCTCCATAATCAAAAATCAAGAAGAAACTTTTATGGTATCTCAGAATCGGTTCAAAACGATGCCCTTTGGAAGGACAGTAAAGTTTCCAGAACAATTAAACGATCACTGGGCGTAGGACACTGGTAGATCTTTTGTATTATCGTATATTTTTTGCGCATCACTAGTATTTCGCTGTACCCTGCTTTCTACATTATGGTGTAATAAAAGTGAAAAAAGTTTCTTATAACATTGTCAAATGCAAGCTAAGGTTGGCTGAATAATAACTGTCTGGGTAGTTTGGATACCCACTATTACCCCTTTGAAATCAGAACAAGGTGATTGGGGAAATAACGGTTCTAAATTTCATTATAAATACAAATGTACATTATTACCTAAACATGTATTACCGCTCAGTTATTCAACCAATAATTGTTCCCTCAATAACCGATCAAAATTACAACAAATAGACAAATTGATAAAGAATATAAGAAAATTACCGAACGCACCAAAAAATAAGTGTTATTCTATTATTTCTGGATAGATCAAGCAAAAATCGTTCAAAAGATAATAGTTTGTTGTTTTATAACACAAAGTGTTTCCAATTGTTCTCTTATTGAATCACAAATCTTTATTGAAACAAGTGGAAAAGCGTCAGTTCATTGTAATAATTTTGCAACGGGAAACAAGGCTTTTAACTAGCGATGAAGTATTCCCACCAGGCCATGGGCTTTTAAATAATAGGCGGTAACTCAGATTCGAGTGACTCCTTGAAGTTAAGTAATAATGGAAATGTCCAAACATCAACTGGTGTTTGTGGTCTGCAAAAAAGTTCAAAAGGTAAATCAAAATTTGGGACCCATATTTCGACGAAGACATGGGCCTCTGATTTAGAAATTATGTACTTTATATGTGTACTGCTTCTGACCATCATTTTAAGTGATATACACGTGTAAGGATATAAGAACATCACTTTCATCCCTATGAAGCCTCATCAAATGAAGACGTAAAATGCGTTGGAGGCTATGTAAGAACCGAAAAGACATTATTGTTTAGTCACCTTAGTGTTTAGTGCCTGACATAGAAGAGTGCCAACTCCCTCACTCCTTTATTCATACCGCGCCAGGTAAATCTTTTTATAAGGAGGTTGATGGTAGCTTGAACTCCTGCATAAGATGTCAAAACGACAATACTTCGTAATGACAAAACCAACTCGACCATCGGATATTTAGGTTTGGCTGTTGTAACGCTGCTAAACAATTTATTGATTCGAGCAAAAAATTTTCTCATTAATTCCATACAAGAGCAAAAACATCACTCCTGACCTAACGACCTGTCAACGTCTTGTAAGAAGACTTGAAGCAATAGAATCGTATGATAGTGTTATAGTAAATAACCAGCAAAAGACAGCGAATAATATAAAGCACATGAACAATAAGCATGATGTCACTCCACAAATGGCAGGTCACTCCGTAGATCTGGAGGGGTCTGCAGATCAGAAACCTTTGGATAAGATAAGCATTCCAACTGTCACCATAAAGCATAAAGACATCCACGATCCCGGCAGTTCGTTGAGTAAAGTACTAACATGTGAGCCGTGTGACGACACATATCCAACTGAACACATTCACTTGAAAAATTTTCCCCATAATGATACCTGAAGCATGAAATAACAGTAATATTTCTGACCTAAATATATCCCTTGAAAACGTTATCCTATATAGAAGTGGTCGAATGAAAGGACGAGGCGGAATATGTCTTATTTACGCTCACTCAAACGTAAACTTACTATTATGTGATAAGTCTGAACTAAACAAAGTGAAGGATTCGATGTGGGCTATTTTAAAGCCATCAGATTCCATCAACGGCGCTTCACACCCCAACTGTTAGGGAGTGACTCCACTCTTGATTGCACAGGTAGATGTAAGCACATCAATTTAGAGCCTTTATAGCGCCGTGGGCTAGGGAGCTATCTGATAATATTCTACACATCAATAAATGGACTCAATCCTAACCTTCTGCCCAACTATGATCCATGACCCAGCCTATAGACTAAGAAACAAAACATATACACTATTAACCGTAAAACACCCAAAACAAATGCGTTGTAAGTTTTTACAGTGCAGTATAGTTTATTGTGGAAAAGGTTGCCAATAACTATCTGTAACTGTGACACTTTTGCCACATTTAAGAGACTAATAACCTTGTTACCAGACTCCAAAGAGCTTCATTAACTAGTCCTTTAACTCCCGCCCACCAATGAGGCAATTTATTATGCACCGTCTAATATCTAGACGGAACGGGAATATAACGAACCCCATTGTTATTAAAAAGAATATAACCGAATTAAAAATACATGATTTGTCCTCGCCCACCATTCATTGATTATTATTCATGGCCTTTTGCTCTTAACCCTCACATTCAGATTCCGAATCTCTATAATTGTTAAAGATACATTTAGCTAATCTCTTCATACAGCTTCCGTGTGAACAGGATGTGCAGAGAATAAAATGGAGCTGAAAAACGCTGATTCTTTCTGCAAATAGCACAAACACAATCTAAAGCGTTACTTGAAACCCAAAGATACTTGAAAAACAAAAACACGACTACAGAATGAAGGACGATGTTAGTGGCATGGTATCCTGAGGGGCTAAGCTCGTGGAACAAAAAGTTAACTCTAAACGTAAGGACAGTGAACGGCCTATATGACTTAAGGCTTCTTTCCTGTGAAAATAAAACTTGGAAGAATTTTCATCAGACCTCATTCATAGGAGTCCCCCAGAAATCATTTTTGAAAAGCTCCGATAAACTTGTAGACGGACGTAAATCTTGATTGTCTCTAATAGCAGATACATCATCAAAGACGAATCCACAACCCAACGAATTAAAGTAAATCGCTGAAGAGAACAGACACAGTAAAACCTCCTCCCACATAACAAAGGTGCAGCGTACACCAAATTGGTGCGTTTCCCAAGGTCATTAGTTTCTTATTCACCCAAACCTCAATGAACAAGAACGGAGAATTATCGGTCTCTTGAGAACTGCATTTGAGTTGATGAAATGAGCTTTATTAACTAGTCCTTTAACTCCCGCCCACCAATGAGGCAATTTATTATGCACCGTCTAATATCTAGACGGAACGGGAATATAACGAACCCCATTGTTATTAAAAAGAATATAACCGAATTAAAAATACATGATTTGTCCTCGCCCACCATTCATTGATTATTATTCATGGCCTTTTGCTCTTAACCCTCACATTCAGATTCCGAATCTCTATGATTGTTAAAGATATATCATCCTTCCTTAGTGTCATGTCTTTTTCTTCTCTTCTATTACAAGTAGACAGATAGCTCACTAATCGTATGGATGCTGATCAACTAAGGCCGATCGAAAGAAGCTCAGAATGTCCTAAATTCTTGTGGAGTGCTCAATGTTCACTTATCTTACCCTGAAAATTCTACAATCTTCTTTTTTATATCCTTTAATTTGTTATTAGTTTTTACCATCTCTTAACCACATATAATCTGACCTGTCTTTTATAGCTTATACCATTAGTTATCTTCATAGAAGTGTGATATACTTAGTGGATGTCTAACCCAAAATACAAATGCTTTAGGCGTCTGGTTTGCTTGTAACATGGAGCCAGTAGAGACAGTGTATTCGAACTATGGGTCTTGATTAAACCAATATTCATACTTACCACGAACGTAAGAGGGCGCAACATCACAAAAGGGGGGAGAGTGACGTTACTGACCAGCATAGATGACGTTGGAGAGATAACTTCAATTCATCCGTTTCTGTAGTGCAGAACATGTTAACTTATGGCTCCTTGTATCAAGTTGGATGTCACGAACCAACTGTTCTTTCTGAACCATTTTCATTTATACAGTTGCTTATCCACTCACATTTTGTTTACACATATTTTCCCTAACATATTGGAATACTGTTGCTAAATAAGTACCTTAATAGCAGAGAAATAGACTAAGTAGTTATACCTTAACTATTCCTCCATGAATATTGTCTGTTTTGCTTCTCATCTTTTCTTTTTCTTATACCTTTTCTCAGCTCCCTTGAGATATGCCATCGAAAACAGATATGGAACGGGTATCTTCGTCCAGCACCATATTCCAGAGAGATATAAAGTTGTGGTTTCTAGAGGCGCTCAACTTCACATGGACCTATGCTTGACCATCAACTTCATGTCACAACGCCACATTCATATAGCGCGGCAATTGTGACGTTGACAATACGTTTCTTACTAAAACTATCTATATTCATATCCTATAAAATATAAACCCAGCTGAGTAATTTACTATTGTGAAAATTGTCGTTTCTGTAACAATTTGATCTTGTCTGTATACTGGCATGCCTCCTGAAACAGACTGTTATTTGAGGATAAATTCTTATTATTATGAATCACTTGGCAACGTATCATTACTTGTGTACATTTGTTCGACCGGCAGTTGCAAAATTATCGATGATAACCTATACTGAAGATTGGCGTTTTCTTTCTGATGCATGTCGAATTTGAAAAGATCAATTTCTCGCAAACTCTTCAGGAAATTTACTTGGAACAAGAAGTACGCAACCGGGATGTTTATCCCTGAAGATTTATTCTTGAGGTATGTCTTTCTATAAACTACTTTTCATATGTTGTTAATGTTCAAGTTTACCAGTCTTCCCACTGTTCGTCCAGTAATATTGTATATAACACAAACACTTTTATGATGCTTTGAAGGCTTTCGAAGAAAATATATCTCGAGTTATCTTAGGGCAGACATTTTTCGAGCCAACCAATTACAACGCTAATTCTTTGACGTATTGTTTTCCATCATGTCTTTGATTATCAAAAAATGACAATCAAAGAATTATATTATCAGACTCTCCCAATCACTGAAAAATTAACAGAATGGACTGCTGAAATATTTAGAACCTTTTTCTTGGTATGACTGTTTAAAAACCTTGAAATCGAACTACCTGGCAAATCGTGTTTGTCATTCACTTAATGACAATGTTAAGACGGATGTTTTGAAGAAATTCATTATTTTAGGTGTTTATGGTGTGTTTATTGAGAGGAAAAACGATATACGAATATCGCTCATTCACCAAACACTGCCTATTATATTGTTTTCCTCAGAAGTTGCTGTGACAGCTGAAGTTTCTTACTAAAGCTCTATAGGTCGGGAACTAGTTAGTACTGTTCAATCCCATATTTGAAACTGCTTAAGTTACGCCATGACAAACAACCACATTGCACAGAAGAAAATGCACTCAGTCATATTTAAGATGCGCTTAGTCTGAAGTATATACATGAATTGTGAAGCAAATGCGGTTGAACGAATCTATACTACTTGTACGGTGACCTGAAATTATAGATAACCATCTACGTTTATGCTAAGGATACCTGTGGCATCGACTTCAATGTCTAAGAATATGATGAACTATACAGTTTATATTTTTGTAGTTGATCGAGCTTACGTGTAAGAGTTCGTCTTCTTATGTGTTCCAGTAGCGTATGACGGCAAAGACACAGGCATGTCACAATAAATCCACAATCAAGTTTACATCTGCTCGCAAATCTTCTTGCTTCCATGCAAGCAGAACAAGATGCCCTCGACCAAAATTAACCGCTGAAACCACGATAACTACAAAGTAGAATTGATCAAAAAGCAGTTTATTTTAGGCATAAATTTAACGACTATGGGTAGTCTGTGAAGAAGATAGATTATTCTGCCCTATTTTTTTAGAATTTCTTCAGCACACAGTATCTCTTGAACATGAAGCACTGCAAAGAACACTGAGTATTATTATTATTAATGGCTTTATTCAATATTATAATCTGATACAATTTAGAATTCCCAGCGCGAGTTAGTTCAACAAGTTCTTTACCGAGAAAAAACAAAAAAACCCAAAAAAAAACCAAGAAAAACAAAAAAAACAAACAGAAAAGGAATGAAAAAGGTTTAAGAAAATCTGAGTTTACACAAATTATCAAATTTGAAACATGCTTAAGAATACAGGTTATTTACTAGGTCAACTCTAACAGCCTGTTCGTCACAAAGTAAATTTGCTAAGTAGGGTGTCACAGAACTTTTATAGACTTGCTTGCGTGTATGGATTTTAATGTATTTACGTCTCGTTCTACCAGAAGATATACAAGGAGAAAGATATGAATGAAGCGGATGGTTAGTATCTGATAAGATAACACCTGCCAAGAGTTTGCAAGACTTAAGATGTCTATCCACAAGCATATTAATAATGACTTCAAAAGATTCACCACATACCTTACAAACCGCCTTCAGCACTCTACTCAAAACAGCAAAGTCTTTTCTCAAAAGCCCAGGAAAGAATAATGGAGAACAATATAGAATAATAGGTAATATGCAGGAATTTACAAATTGTAAGAGTAAATGGTAAGTAATCCCAAAAGCATGCAGCCTCTTTATGTAGTATGTCAAACGGTAAACTTTTTTCGATAACAGTAAAACATGAGAAGACCAAGAAAGATCAGAGGAAAAAATGGCACCAAGATATTTGACCTTCGACACTGTGTTTATTAAGGAGTCTCCAATGGCACAAGCATTATGTGATCGCGAAATAGAGTGTAGGTTCTGTCCATGTCTCAAGCTGAAATTAACAGCTTGACATTTAGATGGATTGAGTAAGAGACCATTACCAACACACCATCTTTCAAAACGAGATAAAAACTCATTCATTTCTATGGGATGTAAAGAGGTAGAAATCGGCATACATACAGTGAGGTCGTCCGCATATTTTACAAAAGTGTTTTCTGTGGAAGATGGAAGATCATGCAGAAAAAAAAAGAGCAAAGGTGAAAGAACAGCTCCTTGTGGCACACCTACATTAGACAGTAGAGATGTTGAACACTTTCCTCCAAATACAGTGTACTGTTCTCTTCCAGAAAGGTAGGGACATAGCCAATTGGTTATCCAGCTGTCAGTGTCGACGCTGATCAGCTTATTAAGTAAGAGGTGTCTTGGAATAGAATCAAAAGCAGGAAAGCGCATCTAACATACTTCTTACCCTTTTCCAACCCGAACACTATATTGTGATGCAGAACAGCAACGGCATCTAGTGTGCTTCTTTTGCATTTCTAAGCAAACTGATATGGATCACAGTGCTCTTTTATTGCAGGTTGAAGAGGTTGTATCAGTAATTTTTCCATTATTTTGAGGAAAGGTGAAGTTATTGCAATGGGTCTAAGTTTCACATTTTTATCACCAGAAGCTTTCTTTGGTATAGGGATTATCTTTATCTTTCTCCACATTTTCGGTAAGACATAAGTTGAGAAGGGTCTGTTAAAGATATTCGTTAATGGATAACATAAAACATCAGCACATTTTTTAAAAAGGAGGTTTGGGATACCATCAGGTCCTAAACATTGGGATGAATTAAGTGACTGGAGACATTTTCGGACATCATTTTCAGTGAAACTGGAAACACAATTGTTCTTCAGACCCTTGGATATAGGGAGCATTATGTCAGATGACTGACGTATAAAGGACTTATTTAAGTCACAAACATTCAGCTGGTTATCGCTTCTAGTCTTCCTGTTCCCTGTAATTTCTTTAAAGAGTTTCCATATACTTGGAGAGCTTTTACAAGATAGGAGTTTTTGAGTAAACACAGAGTTGAGACGTCTAATCTGTTAGTTTATTTGACCATTTAACTTACGAACTTCAGCAGTATTTTTCTCTTTGTACATCCTTTCTTTTACCCTCTGTAATCGTTTTAGTTGTGGAGATGTAAGTCGATCAAAACTTAGAAAGAAGGTTTCGGTAGGACAGTAAATATCAAAACAGAACTTAAGATAACAGGTGATAACATCAGTTGTGTTTTCTATTGAGTCATCTGTAAATAATTCCCAGTTGGTCGTACGAAACATGTTTTTTAGATTTTGTAAATTTTCTTCCGAGTAAATCCTGTATATTACTTTTATGGTATGGTGTATGTGTGTACTTTTTCCATGTTTACCATATACTCTAGGTAGGACACGAATTATACAGTGATCCGAGCTAGACAATGGAGCACGTTTGCGAGTCACATAGGTACCCACATCATTAATGGAAACCAAGTCTAGATGAGCATTCAAACGAGTAGGAAAATCTACTACATTTAGGTGACCTAGTGATGTAAGGAAGCTACAGTCACATGAATTGAAATCACCACATACAATTGAAAGTGAATCACCGAAGGCAGTAACGGCGAATTCAGTAAATTTATCAGCGAAGACAGATAGCGCAGATGATGTACAGTCTGGAGTCATGTAGATATTGGTAACATAAATATATTTGTATTTATTTAGGGTAATCATTAATAATCAGTTAATCGTAGCAACAATAATTTACAAACTGATGAAAGTACTACTTACATTTATGACTAACCGGTTATTTGATATTTCGTCTTAATTTTTGAGTAAAACAGAGATAAACACAAAGTTCCCGTATCTAGAATCGTTAAGTTATTCTTATTTTGTTACGTTGTTTTCTGGATCTTATCAAGGTCTAAACAGGGACGCTGAGGTTCAGTAAAGAAATCGGCATCCCAGATCAGCTCAATCCCACTATATTGTGGAACGCCTGGTGAACTTTGCGTAAATTTTGAGGTTTTCCCCAAAGTTGTAAGAAATATGGTAGTTGTCTCAAAAATTTGGGGAAAACCCCAAAATGTCCCCTAACATTTTGAGGATTTTCCTCAGATCCTGTGAAATGTTGAGGTTTTGATGGCATTTATCTAAAGTTGAACATAGCCGTTTCCCTAAAATTCATCCAAACCGGAAATAATTTTCCCAAAAATTGGAAGGTTAGGATGTTACGAAGAAAAAATCGACCCAGCGTACGTACTACAAGATACAGAGCTAAATCAATGTTCTTCTCAATGATTTTGTGGTTTTGCTGCAGCATAAAACTACTTTACTACGAGAACGTCCAATATTCGCGCAAACCATAGGACACCCAATATGCAGGTCTTGGAAGCCAATGCTTCCGAGACCTGTGTGGGTAGAACGTATGTCTCCAAAAACACCTTAAATGTGTGTTACACGAATGCTCGTAGTCTTCGGAATAAGATGTGTGAGCTAAATTTGATGGTAGACGACTTAAATCCGGATATAATTGTTACCACCGAAACTTGGCTCACTGTAGATATAGACTGTTCTCCATTCATTTCAGGCTACATCTGTATCAGAAGTGATAGAGTTAGAAGTCGCAAGGGAGGAGGCATAATATTATATGTTAGGGACCACTTCTGCATAAATTCGATCATATCGGAGGCGCATGTAAGTGGTACGTGTGAGGTAGTATGATGTACAATTAGTTCTAGAAACGGGTTAGTGACGATAGGAGGAATATATCGTAGTCCGTGTTGTCTCGCTGACGACTTTATCCTAAGACACGTCTGTTCTTGGAGTAAAGCAAAATGTTGTCTCATCGTTGGAGACTTCAATGCACCCCATATAAACTGGAAAGAGCTCACAGCTCCAGGTGGGGGTTTTGATAGCGTCCTTCTGTCATCAATTATTCAGTGTGCACTTGTACAATGTATCGTTAAGCCGACGCATATAGACTTGGAACATAATCCGTCATTGATAGACCTTGTCCCCACACACCACTGTGAAGATATCGTCGACATTCAACACCTTCCCCCACTGGTGAATAGTGACCATGTCGTACTTTCCTTTAAGTTCCGGATACATGGTATAGAATTTGCATCTGCTCCACCCCGTCCTAATATCTGGATAGCTAATATTCCGGCAATCAGGGACTATGCTATCTCAACTGACTGGTCGATCGATGCTGATGGGTCGATTGATGATGCATGGAATAGGTTTAAGTCTACGTTCGAACCCGTAACTCAACCGTTTATCCCATGGTCAGCACGTAAGCTATCATATTGCCCTCCATGGATTAATAAGGAAACCCGGAAGCTGTTGAAGCGTAGGAAACACTTCTGGGACTTATTCTTGTCAACAGGTCAGGTATCATTTAAGTGCGAATATAAAAAAATCCGGAATATATGTAAAAAGACCATAGCTGAATCCCGCACGGCTTACGAACGACAGTTGGCATACGATAGCCATACCTGTCCGGAGCGACTGTTTTCGTACGTTAAAAGGCCGACGAAACGTAGTGATGGTATCCCCTCATTACTGTTAAGCGAAAATTCAGCTTTATTGGCTGAATCTGATCTAGCGAAAGCGGAGACATTTGCTAACTATTTCAGTGAAGTCTACTCTACGTGTAGTGTTACAACTACTTGTCCCGTTGACAATGAGATACCAGCCATAGGACCTTTACACGGGACAGAGGATATTGTTCTTCCTTTGATAACTAACCTAAAACCTTGTAAGATACCGGGCCCCGATGGGTTACACCCACGTTTACTGTCGTCGCTCGCGGACATTATCTCAAGACTGCTCACGATGCTCCTCAACATGTCCCTTTCACAGGCTCAACTACCTAGAGACTGGAAAGACGCCATAGTTAGTCCTATATTTAAGGATGGTCAGAGATGGATCGTGTCTAACTACCGGCCTGTTAACCTGACCAGTATAGTAGTTAAGTTACTTGAAAAATTAATTCGGGCTAAGCTACTGAGACACATAGATTCGTACAATCTGTTAACTCCCGAGCAACATGGGTTTCGTAACAAGCATTCATGCTTGACTAACTTACTCATTGCGAGAGAGGATTGGACGGCTGCCCTAGACAACGGCCAGTCTGTGGATGTGATATTCATAGATTTTAGCAAAGCGTTTGATAAGGTTTCACACTTAGGTCTTATTCAAAAGCTCTCGAGCTTTGGTATAACAGGTGCTATATAGGAATGGATAGGAAGCTTTTTATGTGACCGCAGACAGAGAGTAAGGGTCAATGGAACGCTATCCGAATGGAAACCGGTCAAAAGTGGTGTACCCCAAGGCACCATCTTAGGCCCTTTACTTTTCCTTCTGTATGTTAATGAACTACCTTTATTACTTAAGTCGTCGACGTTATTGTTTGCGGATGATGTTAAAATCTGGAGAACAATAAGAAATGAGACTGATCGTTGTTATCTGCAAGCAGATTTAGACGAATGAGTTAGGTGGGCTCATGATTGAGGCCTGGAAGTTAATTCCAGGAAAAGAGTGTTCATGCACATCGAGCACGATATTAGTTACCATTATACCATTAATGGTACATCTCTGCCACGCGTTCATGAGCACAAAGACTTAGGAGTAGTTATAAGTCACGACTTGAAAACTACTACACACTGCAATGCGGTTGCTTCCAAAGGCTTTCGCGCGCTATGGTTGCTTTGCAGAGCATTGAAATGCTTTGACGAGGAGATGTTTCGAATTTTATATCCCACCTATGTAAGGCCACACTTAGAATACTGTATCCAAGCAGCTAGCCCTTGTCTGATAAAGGATACTAAATCGCTTGAGCGTGTCCAGCGTGTAGGGACAAAATTAGTAAAGGGTCTTTCTAAACTCCCTTACGATGAGCGTTTAAAATGTCTAAATCTTTTCACCTCATCTTATCGTAGGACGCAAGGTGACCTTATACTGGCATTTCGTATCTTTAGTTATGATCTGGGTGTTAATATGTCTTATCTTTTTGCTCCCTCCAGCACTAATAATCTCCGGGGTCATAGCAAGAAGGTTCTGAAACCGCGATCTAATAAACTAAAGGTTTGGTCCCGTTTTTCTCATGGAGTGGTCAATGATTGGAACGCTTTACCAGAACAAGTGGTATCAGCACCATCAGTGAACATTTTCAAAAAGAAGCTGGACCTTCACTGGAAGGAAATCTGTCAGGATTAACACAGGTTCATCAACCTACTATCCTTATTACTGAAGACTGAATTACGTAATGGCCGCCTCATGTCAGGCTGTTCAAGGTCGTTTGAACAAAACTGCGGGTGACTTTAAGGAAGCCTGACTTTCAACCGTTCCTGCACGTCCAGCATTGTATGTTCAAGTCTGTCTTCTATTCCGACGTGCTAGTATGTTCTCACTCTGTTTTTAGCACAATGGAAGATAATATGAATCATTCGCTCATGCAATCAACCTTAATGAAGACTGCAGTTACAACAATAAGTAATCACTTGTCGAAACTAAAATCTAATTCAAGCTTACTTGAAAAGTTACTATGTTTTCTTTTCATGAATAAGTAAGTCGTTTTACAATCTTGATTACGTTTCGACTCAAGTGCTCAAAACTTATCGGTCAAGGAATTATTCAACCAAGTATATATTTTATTTTTACTATGTTCTGACAGTTATATTTGATCAGACGTTTGCTGTTGACTCAAATCAAAGTATGGGTGAATTATATGTCTCACAAACAAACAGTGACCTGGTAAAACGGCTAGAGTTAGTTGTCATCCGTAGTCTTGATCAGCTTGAATCCACAAAACGTGAATCGGTGTGTTACAAGAAGTAAGAGATGGAATACAAGTTTTTTTCCACTGTGCTTTTCTTACATTATAGGGCTAGCACTAGCGATCCAGTTGTAAGTTCAATTTATATTGTAAATTTCTGGAGGATAAGCAACTGTCCCATATAAGAAGTTTTCTTGAAATCAACAGGAAGAGAAAACATCTGTTTAATCTCTCATCAGAGCTTCGAAACTTAAAAGCAAGTTATTAATTTTAGTAGTTCTCTTGCGGATATTTTTGATCCCAGTCATTTTCCCCATATCCCGATTCTATCATCGTATACATATTAGTCTTGTATTTACTATGCAATACGAACTTGCGGTTAATTAATATTCTCCAACTGCTCTGAATCTTCAGTGTAAATTTTCACGGACTACCAAAAAGCTCATTCATCACTGAACGTACTTTGTCATTTAATGTACAGAGCACGGGTCCAAGTATTACTCTCAATTTAAAACAACACGAACGTAGGATCTTTGAATATTCTAAGTTGGCACCTATTCACCATATTTTCTACCATTTCCACAAACGTATATATAGCTATTAATTTGAGAGATATCAACTCAGAATATTGGTAGTAAATATTTGCATACATGTATTCTACCACATTAGACTAAGTGGGTCGCGTCGTCACTGGTTTCTATGGTTAAAACCCAAGAAATGCTGACAAAGCTGCTCATATTTTCTTGCTTTATTTAGTAAATGATGAGCTGTTTAATTGCTTATGTGATCGCCAGATAAAGGTGGACTAGATTCTGTCGTGCTTACAATAACACAAGTATATTATCTGCGCCTTAAATTACAATTTATAGAGTGCTCTTTTCAGCATTGTAATTAATAGAAAATCAAATGTAATAGCTGGTGTCATCAAAGTTTTAACTATCTGTTTTTTTCTATTATCTCACCAGAGCGTTCAACTACAGAAATGTAATGTGTCAAGAGATGATTTAAAGGCTGAGCTTCAATTATTAACGCTACAGTCAAAGGTCCACTACATGAAACACCGTATTGGGAAGTTGAAGTTGGACTTAGAATCTAGTGAAACATACATTTCTGAATATGAGTCACTACGCACAGCAATGGCGAATATTGAAAGTCTTCTGGTGAGTAGAGTTCAAACATACTTACTTACAGCTGCTAATTTTTATACTTTCCAGAATAAATCGACTTTCACTAAGGCAAATAAATTGTTAACATTGCAATAGGACTGTGATTTACTAAAACTTTGTCTGGTGTGAAAATATATTTAGTTAAACTTACAAAGAATTGGAGGGTTGGACTACTCTTTATCTTCACTCACACGGTAGATTGCGATCCAAATGCTATCAAAAGTGTGTTTTACCATCGACTGGATAACGTTAAGAGAGTGTGCAGAACAGGCATTAGGGTGTAAGCTACCGATGCCAGACAAAAGTTATTTGGGTAGTGATGTTAACGATCTCCTCAGGTATACGGTAGTTTCGAAGAAAACTCCCATAAGGTCTTCCTATTCACGCTTTCAAGCGCGTTCTCATAGTCAGGGGAGTTGATGTATTGAGACAAATTCCGACCGTTGCTGCTACCTTGACGTGGTGGTCGGGCTTGCCTAACGTGATGAACCAACCGAGCTATACTGGCTGGAACTATCGTTCCTCAAGTTCCTACCATGTCGGACAGGTCGGTTGAAGAGCAGTAAGACTAAAAGCAGCAAACTCAAGATCCGAAGGCGAAGTCGTACTGCTGACTGTACAGAGCTGTGACGGCAGTAAGGTGTTTTTTTCAGACAACCAGCATAACGGCGATGCCGCCTTCCCACAAGAAGAGGTGGGGTTAGAAAAGGTCGACCTCAAAAGTGCACACCACCTTACCGTCTCCGGCGGTAAGGTCTCGACTAGTACAGAGCTAACACAAAAATTACCCACAAGAAGGTCTTATGTGACCGACCTCAAACAGTTGTCCCTTTGGCACTCTGGTCACTAAGACCAACTCTAACCTAATTTCCTTTAGAGGTACCTTTAGAAGAATCTTTCCACAGTGTGCGCCAGCAGGTCTACTTGGCTAACACCCCAGAATCTCGTACAGTTTACGCATGCTGTATCCGAAACACACATATAGGATCCTCGTGTGGTCATTCACTTGACTTCACCTAGCCAAGACGGGGAGCTGATGAGTTGCGCCCTGCGTTTATCTGGCAACCCGACGGCAAATTCTTGCGAACTGGTAGGTGTAGGCATAGCACCAAGTATGAGGGCAGAACAAGCACTATTAGAGTGGATCCCCGTTAACAGTCACCTACATACTGTTCGGCTAAACGGCCCCATAAGAACTCGGAAGGATGAGGACATACGTCGTTGTCTTTTGGTCGTTTTTGCCTACGCTCCCACTGACTGCAGCCCGGGTGAAGTGAAAGATGACTTTTACAGAATGCTCTCTGAACTTCTTCAAAAAACTTAATGCTCAGACATAATACTCGTAGCAGGTGACTTTATTGCCCGAGTAGGTAGTTTAAACCAAACAGAAATACATTTAGGTGGATATTATGGTATTCTGGCTCAGCGAACAGATAACGGTGATGGTCTGTTGCAACTGTGCTCAGGCAATCGTTTATTTTTAACAAACACTAATTTTAAGCATAAGGAGAGAAATCGTCTAACATAGTGACCCCCTGAACCAAACCAACGATGAACTCAAATAGACCATATTGCCATCAGTCATCGTTGGAGAGGCTCAATAGAAGACTGTCACTCGTTCTGGAATACATGTTTAGACTCTGATCATGTTCTAATACGAGTACGCATTTGTTTGCGCCTCACTGGACGCAGAAAACCCACACTAAGAAGACCCATTAGAATTGAACTCAGTAACGAGAAAGTCAGAAGTGGATTCCAGGAACAACTGAGGTCACACTTAGGTAGTACTGAAAACGAGGCTGAACCAGATGTTGCTTGGAAAGATGTACGAACAGCTGTGGAAACGGCAATGACATCTATTAGCGATTTAAATGAAAGGGTTATGAAAAACCAATGGACTTCTACTAAGTCTATTGCACTGATGGATTCTCGTAAACTCATCATATCAGGCTCTAAACACGATGAAGAGCGTAAACAAACCAGATCTAGGTTAACCAAAAGTCTACAGAGCAATCGTGAGCAGTGGTGTGCAACGAAAGCAAAAGAGGTGGAAAAGGCAGTGGCTGTAGGTAACACCAGAAAGCTTTTCAGACTAATAAAAGAAACTGGAATTAGGAAGTCAAGTGTAAGTGAGACAATATCGGAAAAAGACGGTACTTTTATCTGCTCTCAGCCCAGATGTTTAGAACGATGGACGGAACACTTTAAGGAGCAGTTCAGCTGGCTTGCAGCTACTCTACAGCTGCCCACCATTCCCAGACAACCTGAATGAAACATTGAAATAGACCTACCTACTCTAGCGATTAGATTGACTAATATTGCAGCTGAAACCTGGGAACTGGACGTAATCCCATTTGACAGGTCGCAATCACTGGTCGTCTCAGTATATAAGAAAGGATCAAAACCATCCTGTGATAACCATAGAGGGATTAGCTTGGTTAATATAGCGTCTAAAATGCTAGCCTCAATAATTATCGGGTGCCTAACAAAGACTGGTGAACTGTAGACATGAGAAAACCAGGCTAGCTTCAGACACGGTCGTGGCTGCATCGACCACATAGTCACTATTCGTCAGGCATGCTTATCGGCGTCAGACAATGATGGTTTTTCTTGATGTGAAAGCAGTATTTGACTCTGTAGACCGAGAAGTTCAGTGGCAATTTCTGTCATTGAAAGGCGTACCTCAGAAGTACATAAGCCTTGTAAAGGCTCATTACTAGAACACTACCAGTCGAGTCAGAGTTTATAGTGAACTGTCATTTGGTTTTGTAACCTCAAGTGGTGTCTATCAAGACTGTTCAATATCTCTCAATATCTTGTTCAACTTCATCATGGACCTACTCCTGGGTATAACGTTCTCGTCGTCTGAATTTTCGGGAATCTTTCTCCTACCAGGAGATCCACTTGTCGACTTAGAATACGCAGATGACATGGTCCTGTTTGGTGAAGACGCTGATAACATGTCGAATCTTTTGGTTGCAGTGAGTAACAATACCAGGATATTTGGGATGTGTTTCTCCCCCTCGTAATACAAGTTGTTTCTTCAAGACTGGTCTGCGTCATTACCTGAACTAAGGATTTGGGATGAAATTGTATTCAAAATAATAATGGTATGTGAACAGCAATCACTGATTTGAATAACGTTCATATATTTATAGTATATACATAAGAAGCTTCTAGATTTGTCTCCAATAATATGCCCGGGCTGATCGGTTTAGAATTAGCCAATCAGCGCGCAGCAACACCATCATGAAACATGCTTTAATCCAATCTATGTCCCGCTAACACCTCCCCCTTGAGCAGATTCGTAGGATCCGGTGCTAGGGTCCAACTGCAACCGAGTGACTGGCCTGCGCTTTCGATCTGTCCATCGTCTAGGCAATAAGGAAGTTGTATCACTCTTTGCTTGCACAGAAACTGACCTGTCTGTTCCGGGCATTTCTATTTCAAAGGTGTCTAGCAGAACGTCAAGAGGTATTCGATGTCGATTCTCGCTGCTGGCTATCGAAGTTGCTTTCAGTTGGTTTGCATGACGTATCCAAACTTCTGAGCCAACTGACACCTCATAAACCACTTCCCCTTTCTTTCTCACGATCCAACCAGCTGTCCACGTAGGATGTTTACCATGATAGTCCATAGCAAGTACTTTTTGACCCACCGTGAATAATCGTCTTTGTGCCCCATGGTGTCGATTGAACTGCTTCTCCATCGATAAGTTTCGTTGGGGCTCACGAGCTGGCGTCGGACGGATGACATCGAAATGTGTCCTTATTTTTCTGCCAAGTAACGCTTCCTCTGGAGAGACCCCATTTGTTGTTTGAGGGTTCGGTGTAGAGCGATAGATAAGCAGGAACCTCTCTAAGATCTCCTCGGTGGTACCCTCCCCTCTTGATATATTTAGAGCATTTTTGAACGTACCAACAAAACGTTCTACCTGACCATTCGATTGCGGATGGAATGGAGGTGTTCGGATGTGCCTGATTCCGTTCTGCTGACAAAATTCTGAAAAGTCTTTTCTGACTTCATCTGACGACACTGGAGTGTTTCGAATTGCCGCTGCTAATACACTCCGTATTTCTGGGACCTTTCCACCTGTCTTTTTTGCACGTGAAGTGGTGTCTGATGATGGACACGACACGTTACAAACGCTGTTGAAGGGTACCTCCATTATTCCAAGTTTTTCTAACATATGTAAACCAAGAAGATCAAGGTTTGATCGTTCTGTTAGATAGCATACTCCTTTACAGCTATTTCCATTGAAGGAAAATTCACATTGTTATTCACCAACTAGTTTCAGTACACCTCCAGATGCGGTTTTAGCCGTTTTCTTGGATGGCTTCATTGGCGGCTTTCCTAGCAAGTTATACGTCTCTCTAGACACTAGAGTAATATCGGATGCTGTGTCAATTTGAAGACGAGCCGCTATACCATTAATCTGGATCGTAACATACTTTCTCCGAATGTCATAGTCTGTTTGAAAAGCTGCTACCAGAGAAAGAGATTTAGACTCAGCTGCTTTCACCACACGTGGAGGACGTTTATACTTTTTCTTGGGCTGGGACGTACGATTCGGTGGACAATGGCCTTCTTTATGTCCACGTCTGTTGCACACCTGACATTTATGCTTCTTAAATGGACAGAACCGTACATAATGCCAGTTGCCGCATAACCAACAGGCATCCGTTGGTTTGTTATGAGTTTTATTCACCTTCTGACTTTTTAACCTAGTCATAGCATTTACACTACTGCAGGTTAAATTAGAATTTACCTGTTCAATTAACTGATTGTCGTGTCTGATGTTTTGTAGTCGTTTACACTCATCTGTCAATGTCTTGTGTGACGTTTGGGTCTTGATCCAAACAAGTTAGAAGTCTGGTTCTAATTTCAGCATCTTGTGGTGACTGCAGAACTTTAATGAATATAAGGCATTTAAATTGATCTTCTGTCAACGAGCGTAACTTGAACCGTTCACACTCTGTTGACGACGTCTGCTA